ATATAAAGTACCAAGGTGGAAGAAAGGGAGAAGGTGACAAAGATGCACACCAGTATCAGGAGGGTTTGGGTGGCTCTGGTCTCGGGAGAGTCTGGGGGCATGACGACATTGTCCTTGCCTCTTGTACCTTAGGGGATGCTCACCATGGAGCCGTTAGCCCAACTACACAACATCAGTGAAGAAAAGCACGGACACATGTTTGTCTTATTTTTTTTTAAGATTTTATTTATTTATTTGACAGAGATCACAAGTAGGCAGAGAGGTAGGCAGAGAGAGAGGAGGAAGCAGGCTCCCCGCTGAGCAGACAGCCCGATGCGGGGCTTGATCCCAGGACCCTGAGGCCATGACCTGAGCCAAAACAGAGGCTCAACCCACTGAGCCACCCAGGTGCCCCGACATCTTCCTTTTTGGCATCTTGGAATTCTACCTCCTGAATGGGTTTGATTCTTCAGTATGAAAACGTGCTCTCAGATACCATCTTAACAAATTATATGAACCTTTGCAGTGTCCTTTTTTAATTCAAATTCAGTTAATTAACATATAGTATATTATTGGTTTCGGAGGTAGAGATCAGTAATTCATCAGTTTTACATAACACCCAGTGCTTATCACATCACATGCCCTCCTTGAATGTCCATCACCCAGGTACCCCGTCCTCCTTCCTTCCCCTTCAAGAACCCTCAGCTTGTTTCCTATGATTAAGAGTCTCCTGGGCACCTGGGTGGCTCACTCAGTTAAGCAACTGCCTTCGGCTCAGGTCATGATTCTGGAGTCCCGGGATAGAGTCCCACATCAGGCTCCCTGCTCAGCGGGGAATCTGCTTCTCTCTCTGACTTCTCCCCTCTCATGCGCGCGTGCTCTCACTCTCGCTGTCTCTCTCTCAAATAAATAAGATTTTTTTAAAAACTTAAAAAATAAATGGTCTCCTATGGTTTGTCTCCCTCTCTGGTTTCATTTTATTTTTTTCATCTCTTTCCCTATGATCCTCTGTTTTCTTAAATTCCACATATCAGTGAGATACGACAATTGTCCCTCTCTGATTGACTTCTTTTGCTTAGCATAATACCCTCTAGATCCACCCACATCATTGAAAATGGGAAGATTTCATTTTTTGTTGGCTGTGTAGTCCACATCTTCTTTATTCATTCATCTGTTGATGGACATCTAGGTTCTTTCCATAGTGGCTATTATGGACTTTGCTGCTATAGACATTGGGGTGCAGGTGCCCCTTCGGATCAGTACATTTGTATCTTTGAGGTAAATACCTAGTAGTGCGATTGCTGGGTTGTAGGATAGCTCTGTTTTCAACAGAGAGAGCACAAGCAGAGGGGTGGGAGGCAGAGGGATCATGACCTGAGCCGAAGGCAGACACTTGACTAAGCCACCCAGGCGTCCCTATTTTCAACTTTTTGAGGAACCTCCACACTGTTTTCCAGAGTGGCTGCACCAACTTGCATTCCCAACAGTGTAGGAGGCTCCCCTTTCCCCGTATCCTCCCCAGCATCTGTTGTTTCCTGACTTGCTAATTTTAGCCATTCTGACTGGTGTGAGGTGGGATCTCATTGCGATTTTGATTTGTATTTCCCTGATGCCGAGTGATGTTGAGCACTTTTTCACGTGTCTCTTGGCAATTTGTATGTCTTTGGAGAAATGTCTGTTCATGTCTTCTGCCCATCTCTTGACTGGCTTATTCTTCGGTTGTTGAGTTTGATAAGTTCTTTATAGATTTTGGATACTTGCCCTTTATTGCAGTGTCTTTCAAAATAATACCTGCTCTTACCACAAGATCCAGCAACAAATTACTGACCCAAATGAGTAAGAAACTTACGTTCACACAGAAACCCGCACACCAGTGTTTACCACAACTTTATTTATAACTGCCAAAATTTGGTTGGAAGCAACTGAAATGTCCTTTAGGAAGAACCAACATAGGGCTCTGGCGAGGGATGCTGCTAGGCAAGCGTGGGGGCGGGGCGCGCTCCGAGTGCTAGGTTGTTGGAGCAAGTTATGCCGTTAATCCAGATACTGGAGGCTGCAATGAGAACTAGTGTGTGAGCCCAGAAGCAGCTGTCGGGGCAAGTGGTGTGGCACGCAGCACCACCCCCACGTGGTGATAGGGTGGCTTACTGGGGCTCCACTGGCTGAGCCAATTTGGAGGTCCGGGCTGGGCCCTTGCTTGCCGCGAAAGGCCTCTTTCCTGGTGGGTGACATGGGTCATGAGTCCTGCCCTTTGTGTATCCGCTCGGGGGGGCCGCAGCCTCTGGTGGCCCGTTCGAGGGTTTTTAGGGCGGTGGGAGCTCGGAGGCAGCGCTGGGGCCCTTGGGCGGTGCGGGGAGGGGTGCGTCCTCCCTCTCCAGCCTCCGGCCGGGGGTATAAAGGCTCTCGCTTCCACGTCCGTCCTTTGGCCATGTGTCTGGATACCCCCCTTCTTCCCCTGCCGGGCTCTTCCCCCGACCTTGTGCGGGGTCGGCTTGCGCCCAGGTTTCCCGCCAGAGCCCTGCCCCTTCCGTGGTGTGAAGAGCCAAGAAACGGGTGCCCTGAGGGACGGGAGTGGCCCCCAGAAGCGGGGGCCGCGGGGGGACTGTGGAAAGGGCCGGCCAAGTACTCTAGCCCTGGCTGCTTTAGACCTTCTGGGCGGGGCCCTTTCCACCTCGGGTCGCAGCGGTGTGGTCCCGCGGAGGTGGGAGGGGCCTGGTCCTTCTCGGTCCCGCTGCCGAGGCGCGGCTCCGAGGGAGGCGGGAGCCTTTGGGGTGTCTGCCCTTCTAGCTGGGAGTGAGTCGGCCTCGGCAGTTTTTAGGGGAGGGAGTTGCAGGATGTGAACCTGCTCCCTGGGAGCCCCGTTACCTCGGCACGGCGTCGTGCCCGGGGTTTCGCTCAGGGGGGCACTCTGTGTGCCCCCAGGGGAGCGACTCGTGGCGGTGGCAGCCCGGGGTCTGTTCCTGGGGCTGCCCGTCGGTCGGTACGTGAGCAGACGCGTGGGGCGCGTTGCGCGGGCCTCCAGAGGCCCCGGGTGGCCGCGTCCTTTCTCCCCAACCAGGACACCACTGTGTCCGGCCTCTCGTGGCTGCCTCTGCGGGTCCCTTTCTCCTCCTGTCCTCCGGTGTGTGGGGGATGAAGGGGACGTCCACGCTTCCCCCCCCCCCGCCCCCACCGTGCAATGTCTGGGAGGTGATCACTGCGGCTTGGCCTCCAGTGTCAGAGGGACACGGCTGTGAGTTCCAGGCAGGCGTTAGTTGTTAACTCGCGCTGATGCGTGAATGGGGGCGGTGGTGGGAGGAGGAGCCTTGGCTGAAGGCTTGCCCCCGGGTCGGTCGCGGGTGAAGAAGTCCAGGTGTTGCCTGCAATGCAGCCCCCAAGCGCCTGATGTTTTAGGGCTATCTGAGGCTTCGAAGGGAAAAATGAGGGGTTTGGGGGACAGGCGGAGCGCGCTGAAAGACGGGAAGCCGTTCTGAGGCCACAAAGGCACTTTTAAATCCTTCCTGCCCCAGGGCCTCCAGCAGGCAGAGAACCCAGGTGTGCCTGCTCTGGTGTGTGCTCCGCTCCCCAAGGGGCGTCCTCGCCCAGGGGTGCAGGGTGGATGCAGTCCTGGCTGGTTGGGACGCCAACGGGGGTGGCCCAGGGGTGGCTTCCTCATGTGTCAGGGCCCATCTTGGAACCTAGAGCAAGCCCTATTCAAGAGAGCGAGGTGAGGGGGGGTTTTGCTGGGAAGGGGCGGTGGGGGTGCCCCCCCAAGCTCTGGAACCACGTGAGGATGGGAGGGTGGGGGGGTAGGCCTTGTGCCTTCCTTTAGTGACTTGGTTTTTTGGGACCTTAAAAATGCAGCACCCAAGCCCACTTAGTTGCCTAGTTGTGCCAATTTTTTAAGGTTTTGGGGTGTTTTCATGTATTGCTTTTTACAAGTCTCCCAATTTCATTTTGGGGGGATGGTTTTTCAAGTTTTTATTGTAGGAGAGAGTATTTTGTCCATAATACAGTGAGTATTATTGAGACATCTTGTTAGTCTGTTTCCGAAATAACCCCCCCCACACATGGGGGGAAAAGGTGTTTGTGTTTGTTTTACATACATTTCATTTGTGGTGGTCGAGTGAGGGGGAGCAAAATGGATAAAACAATGTAGATGAGCAGATCCTGGAGTGTTCCGGGATAGTCCTTGGTAAAAACAACTTATGGTGGGGGAGGGACTTTGAAAAAGGTCACAAGGAAAGAAGCCATAAAGATCCATTTATTACAGTCTGTATACAATTTTAAATATGTGCGGTTCACCAGTATCCTTAATTTTTATAAAGCTTTATTAAAAAATGGAATAGAGAGCAGGTCCCCTCATCCTGCCTGGTGCATCAGTGAGAATTTCCAAATAGCTTCTCTGTGGGTCAGCAATCTGGGCAGAAGAGCATCATCCCAGCCGCAGAATTTCTATCCTATTACCTGTTTCTTGCCTCCGTAAGCCCTATCCTGCAGATAGAGTTTATAAAGATCCTCAACTACATGAAGAAGGTGGAGGAAGGTGATGTGTGGAGGTTCATCTGGGGATGCAGGTTTCACTACATCATCAGGCCCCCCAGAGCGTCTTTTACAAGCACGAACACCAGAAAAGCTGAACCCTCCCTGTCGAAGGCACATGATTCCTTTGCAGTACGTTCCTCCCTGCAGAATAAACCACTCTTGGCGGGGGGGAGACAGAGAAGAGAGGCTATTCTCAGGGAATCAGGATTTTCAAACCCCGCTTAGCTGTCAAAACTACCTAATGAGGAAGAAGGGGGACTGTGTAATTACCCCCACCCCCTATCTCCCAAGGGCCCACAGAACCTGCCCTGTTTTCTATGCTGAGGAAGGTGGCAGGGCTCCGAGAGGCCCACAAACTTGGTCTGGGGCGGGGGGGGCCTTCCTCCCAGTGTGAGTCTTTCTATGAAATCCCAGAGTCACGGGAGGAGGTTAGGCCTTGAGCCGGCTTCCCCATGTGTCGCACTGACATCTCTGGTCCGAGCGCCAGACCCGTGAGCCTGTCCCCCGCAGCTGCAGGCAGGAGGTTATCTGGTGTGAAGTTTTCGGTGTTGAATGATGTGGGAGCTCTGGCTGAAGGACTTCCCACATTCTCCACACTCGTAAGGCTTCTCGCCCGTGTGGACTCTCCGGTGCTGGATGAGGTTGGACTTTTGGCTGAAGGATTTCTCACACTCCCCGCACTTATAAGGTCTGGCTCCCGTGTGAATTCTCTGGTGCTGGTTGAGCGTGGACCTGTGGCTGAAGGACTTGCCGCACTCTCCGCACTCGTAAGGCCGCTCCCCGGTGTGGATGCGCAGGTGCTGGACGAGCTTGCACTTGTAGCTGAAGGACTTGGCACATTCGTTGCACTTGTAGGGCCTTGCTCCGCTGTGGATCTTCTGGTGCTGGATGAGGTTGGAGCTCTGGCTGAAGGAATTCCCACACTCCCCACACTTGTAAGGCTTTTCTCGCGTGTGTACTCTCTGGTGTTTGATGAGGGTCGAGCTGTAGCTGAAGGCTTTCCCGCATTCGCCACAGGCGTAAGGCCTCACGCGAGTGTGAATCTGCAGGTGCTGGACGAGTCTGAACTTGAAGCTGAAGGCTTTTCCGCATTCGCTGCATTTGTAAGGCCTGGCGCCAGTGTGAATCCTGTGATGCTGAATGAGGTTGTAGCTTTGGCTGAAGGATTTCCCACATTCGTTACACTCGTAAGACCTCGTTTCTGGGTAAGCTCTCGGGCAGTGACTAAGGATGGAGCTTTGGTTAAAAGGCTTCTCACAGTTATCCCAGTCGTGGTAACCTTCTCTGGGGTGCAGTTGCTGATGCTGGAAAAGTTTACAGTCATAGCTAAAGGACTTCCCGTGGTCGCTGTACTCGGGTGGACTTTTTCTACCCTGAAAGGAGTCCCCATGTTCAAAGCTGCTGTGAGGCTCGGCTCCTTTGAGAGTGGCCTGGTGCCGGAGAAGGCTCACGATGGCCAGGAAGTCCTTCCCAACTCCCCCACAGGGGAAAGGCTTCCCTGACACGTGCAGTTTGTACCTTGTCACAAGCTCCATGTCCCATCTGAATGGCTTCTCCTCATTGTGCTTCTGGGGCTGAAGATTTGCGTCCAACCACAGTTTCCCACATGCCTCGCAGATGTAGTTCTGCCCACGATGTGCTCCTTGGTCCTCACCCAGGTACAAAATGTCCCTCCCAAGCAAGACACACTTGTCACAGGGCTGAGCTCTCCACACGGATGGAGCTGGACTTGAAGTCCTGCCCATGGACACCTGCTGCACCGAAAGGGCCTCCTCCTCCTCCATTCCGTACCAACAACCTGAAAGCAAAGAAACGTGGGGGAGAAGCTCCTGTTATTCCCCAGGTCCGGCTGATAAAACAGGCCGGAGCCCTGGGACTCAAGTCACAATCGGAAGGAGCACGGCCTCTAGTTCACCCCTCTGCCCCCCAGTGGGCTGCAAGGGACCAGATACCACTGGAGAGACTGGGGGCAGGAGTGGTGCAGGAAGGAGGGGTGGGTTCGGGCCTGAGCACCCTGGACAACCCCTCTAATCCCCAGCTGAAGTGGCTGGGAGAAGGACGAGCAAGTCCGTTCGTGGCCCAAAACAACACCATGTTGCAGATCCACGCAGTCACATCTCGTAAGATGAGCCCCTGGTCTTCCACATAACTTCTGGCCCCAACGAGGAGGAGGGAGAAAACCTGAGCCCGTGCTGGGTCTGGACAGGAGCTGGCCCGGCCCGGTGAGGTCTCTGCCCACAATCCAAATGTGAGAAAATGTGTCAAGCCGGGGCAGGCGGGGAGTCTTACCTAGTGAGATCACAAGTGCGAAGTTCTCCAGCATCACGTCATGGTACAGGCATCTCTGTGTCTCGTCAAGGAGCCCCCACTCTTCCCAGGAGAAGTACACAACCACGTCTTCAAAGGTCACACTACCCTGCCATGAGGGGGAGAGATGAAACCACAAACAGGCAAGCCTTGGTGTCACTTCTCCCTAGGTCTGCAAGGCTGCACCAGCCCCCAACCAGGCACTGTCCCTAAAATCCTCCCCAGTGTAGCCACCAGGTCCAACTGCTGCTCCTAAGTCCCTAATACCCATCAGCTTCCACCCCCCCTTTTATAGCTGCGGGCATCATGAGTGCTCGGCAAGAGGAACCCCACTTCCTAGGGCAGCCTTTAGTCTTCTGGGTTCGAGGACACTACTCATACTGGACTAGAGCCTCCACGAAAAACCTCCCTTTAATATCCAGACACTGGGAATTAGTAATTACCAGCTCACGACCTCTGCCCTTAAATTAAGCTCCTCTACCAGGCTCCAGGTACGGATGCCACAAACCAGTGTCCTTTTCCTGTCCCTTACCTGCGTGTGAGAGGCCCAAGGCAGGACTAGACTCAGTACCTGAAGTTCCCGCAGGCACCTGAGGTGCAACCCCTCACCTCCGCCCCCCGAGTGCCTCCCCAGGGCTCCGCCTGTTCTCTACCTCACTCTTCCCAATAGAGGATCTGGTTCTACTTTAAAAAGGGATTTAAAGCCCAACCGTTTCTCCGGCTTCTGGGGCTGTGATTTACATCTCCACCCCAACCCTCCCACTTTCTGTAGCTACGAGCCTGATAAGGGAAGGACGCCTGCGCGGCCCACAGCTCAGCCACCGCCTCCACCGGTAACCCCCAGGCTGGCGTCCTTACAGGTTTGGTTCCAAAGTGCATCACCTGTAGAGGTGGGGCCCTCGGAGCTCCCGCTGGGACCTGCCCCGTGACTCCGCCTCATGCTCTGCTCGAGGGGCAGACAGGAAGGGGCCCAGGCTGCAGGGACGTAAGCAGGTGCCGAGTTCAGGCCCAGGGGACAGCGTTTACCTGAGCCGGGTCCGCGGGCGCAGCTGCCGCCATGGGACTCCGTGGGAAGAGCAGGACTGGGGGCGGCCCAGGGCCACGGGGACGCCTCCTCTAGTGCTTCCCCAATCACCTCAGCCTGACCCTGCGCTCTGGACCTGCCGAACAGCGAACAGCCCGTCTCCTGGACCTTCATTGGCTCCACGCTGGCGTCGCTGGGCGCAGGGTCCTCTGGGAAATGCAGTTCTCAGCGCTCCACAGGCCTCTGCGAGGGGCGCCACGCGTCAGAACCTCCTGGAACACAGCCGTAGCTGCTCTGCAAGGGGCGCTGTGCCCGGATTCCTGGGGAGTCGGGACGATCCCCTGAATGTTCAACACCGATGTGGTTTTAGACTCCCCGACAGCACGCTCCCAGAGGCTACACGGACTACTCCCGCTGTCCCCAAAGCTCACAAATGCACACGGACCTAGTGTTCCAGAGTCACTCAGAATCACAACTGTGTCTGACTTGGCGGGGGGCGGGGGGGGGGGCGGAGAACGCTGGGAAGAAGGCGACCTCATCTCCTACACTTCTGTTTTCTCCAGACTCACTGCCCATGGCGTGCTTTTGTCCAACGCTGGAAAGCCATGGATTCTGGTCTTTGGTCCAGTTTTGAAGTCACTCACAGAAGGAGTCTGAGGGAGACCCCTTGAGGAAAATGAAAGGGATCTAAAGCTTCTGAAACCCAATTCTCACTTCAGGGCTCTCTCTCCAGACTTTGCAAATGCTCGGATTGTTAAGAGATGTGGGTTATAAAAGGTGTAAAGCTCCAAACCAAGACCACATCCCGTTAGAGATTCATAACTGTGCTCTCTGGCTTCCCGGGCTCCGGTGGGACCTGCTCACCGCCGCGGGGGTAGTTCTGAGCTACTGAGTGCCATGGAGTTGAAGCAGCAAGTAAAACTGTTATTTTATCTGGCTAGGGGGGTTAAAGAGATGAAAACATACTCCTGAACTAAGGTGCCAAAGAGCGTCCCTAATCTGTGTGTATATGAATGACAGGGCGTCAAGGATGCTAAGAGCTTCTCAGTGGAAATGCCATGTAAAGACAAGCCCTCCCACAAGTGTGTGAAGAACATTCCCAAAACAACTACATTCTGGGAGGGGGAAAAACACTAAGTGCACCAAGATTTTTTGGGTTCTAAAGCTTATAAGTCTCTTGTGGAAAAATTTATAGGTTTGACAGTTCCAGGTGATGAACCCCTATCCAAAGAGCCATCTAGAATTTATAAATACTGGTATCTGTTCTGACTGCTCCACCTTCAAGCTTCCTGACACCCCAAAATACGGAAATTATGTCTACTAATAACAGGAGTACATCTATGCATTGTGAGAGGAAGTGTCATGGATATTTTCACCAGGAAGGTATGTTGAAAGCCGAGCTAGGCCTCCTGAGCCCAACAGCTGGCTGAATGGAGCCCAGCTGTGAGTGCAAAAAACCAGTCTTTGAAGAAAATTAAAAGTGCCACTCCAGGGAACACACAAACGGTACAAAAGTAAAACAGCCTGACTACTGATAGAAAGTTCTAGTGGTCTGCAAAGATCAAAGCAGCCCCAACACTCCTTAAGCCAAAACCTAATCCAGAGCAAGGCCTAACTGTCTCCACTTCTAGAAAGGCTGAAGAGAGGTGAGGAGTCTGCAGAAGACCAGCTGAAAGTCAGCAGAGGCTGGGTCCTGAGGCTGAGGGAAAGCAGCCATCTCCACATCATCACAGCACAACGGACAAAGTGCTGACACAGAAGCTGTGGCAAGTGATCCAGAAGATCGAGCTCAGGGCATACCACAGATTTCCAAGGCAGACATAACAGCCTGCGATGGGAAGACACCCTGCATCTAGGCTTTCAGAGCTAGAGAGGTCGAGCCTGGCTTCAAAGGACAGGCCAACTCTCTTGGCGGGGGCCAGCGTTCCTGTATCATTCTGGACGTCCTGGGACCCTTACCAATTGGGCTGAATCTCTGGAACAATAAAGCCGGGTGGAGACACCGTGTTTACAACCTGGTTTACTCACGGAGACCTACTGCTCACTTGTCGGCAATATACCTGGCCACGCAAGAGCCCCGTAGCCCATGGATCAAGAAGTAATTTTGATTTTCAAGTCTTACTGCTTATGAAAAATACAATTTGTAAGTCCACAGAAGTAAAGTGAAAACCTTCTGGAATTTCATTCCAGTAGCCATTCATGGGCAGCAGAGTCCAGTATGAACAGGAGTTTGGAAGAGGTTGATTCCAACCTTCACGGATGACTCTGTGGGGACTTAGAAGAAGTACCAGTAGCTGCAGAGAATCAGAAGTAGAGAAGGTGTGACCGAAAGGCTGCACAGTACAATCTCATGAAAGAACCTGAATGGAAGACCAGAGAAAGGCATTGCTTTGGGTTGCCTGAGGTGGAACTACTCCTGGTAAAGATGCCCGAAGACTGCCAAAGGGACCGTTGATAAAGAATGTCTATAGTGAATGTTTTGTAAGAGGGGGAGTCAACTGTAGGGTAAACTTCATTGTCTGAAGAAACTGCCACAGCCACCCTGAGCCACAAACAAAATGATGAAGACTTGCTGAAACCTCAGTTGAGTGTTTTCTTAGCAAGAACGTATTTCTTAATTAAGGTCTGTATATTGGTTAGGGTTTTTTTTTTTTTTTTTTTTTAAGATTTTATTTATTCACTTGACAGAGATCACAAGTAGGCAGAGAGGCAGGCAGAGAGAGGGGGGGAAGCAGGCTCCATGCTGAGCAGAGAGCCCGATGCGGGGCTCGATCCCAGGACCCTGAGATCATGACCCGAGCCGAAGGCAGAGGCTTTAACCCACTGAGCCACCCAGGCGCCCCAGGGTTTTTTTTTAAATAAGGCCTAATGATTTTTGTACACTTAAAAGACTGCATTGTAAACATAACTTCTTATATGTCCTGGGAAACCAAACACTTCGTTCGACTTGCTTTATCGCAGGTGAGAACCAAACCCATGCCTCTTGTGTTGCTGGTGATGGGATTACAACATGCCCCTCGGGCGTGAGCAGCAGCACGGGCAGAAAGGAGCCTTCCTGGAGCATCCATTATCGGGCAAATGCAGCAACTTCTTAGAAAAGGAGTCTTGACAACCTTCCCCCCCTCAGAACCCGGACAGTTGGAACTGAGATCCAACTATGCAAAACCACATTCTCTCTCTCTTCTGCTCAGAGTGTAAAGGGAAAGAGGTCCCTGCACAATAAATGTAATCTTTCCTCCATCATTCACAGCAACAGATGAAAAATGCCATTTAGACACTGTAGACATTCATAGTCGTCGCAGTCCACCCACACTGTCCCCTCACATGCAACATTTTCACCCAGTGTTTTCATTCAAATCAGCACTGGATTTCTACTGTCAAACTCCCCAAACCTCAAAAAGCCATACATGATATTTTCATGAAATTCCCTTTGAATAATTGCTTACAGAATGGCCTTTTGTATCCTACAACTGCTACTGAACACAGAATGCAAAATTCCCAACAGATTCACTGGCATAGCTTATGAGACTATAAGGATTTTTTAAAGTGTTACTAAATAATTGTGTGTTCTAGAGAGAACTTAGAGCCCAAAGACTGTTGGGAAAAAGATGTTTTGTCTGTCACTGCTAATGAAGTACAAAGACAGGAAATGTGGACACGTTGAGAAACAGGAAGGCAGATGTTCGTGAACCGAGAGCTTGGATTCATAATCGGGGTATCGGGGTTATCTAAAAGGACAAAATATTAGTTGAATGAGTGAAAAGAGTCAAACACACTCACCAGGATCAGGATGGTGCCTATGGCTCTGGCTTCACAGGAACAGAGTCACTGCTGAGAAGGTACTGACCCCTCTGCGTGTATCTGTCAAGAACAAGGACAGTGTGGAGTCAAGCCCAGACCATGAGGCTCAAGCACACGACACATCAACATCATAGATGCTGTCAGTTTTCTACACCTCCTAAGCTTCTCAATTTGTCTGCAACAGCCCAGGGAAAATGCATACATTTTCCCCAATGCTTAGGTTTCTGCTTCTCAACGAAACTGGCGCTCTCATAGGAATGTCTGAAGAAAAGGGTGAGGAATTTCCAAGGATCCCAACTCTAGTCTAAGTGGGAAAGACAACATTGGGACCTAAGTTAGCTGAAACTACCTTATCTACCTTATCAACTTAGCATGCTAAAGGCTGATTTCAGTGACAAAGTCGTTGTACCAGAAAACTTCTTCATTCAGATAACAGTTTCAATTTAATAATAATCATAACAGCAAGTCTTTCATAATTGCAGAGCTATTTCATGTAGAATTATCATCACAGACTCAAACTAGTATCTATCAATTGGGAATTGAATAAATCCTCACAGAGCAGTAGGTTGCTGTGGACAAGATCAATAAACTTTCTCTGCTGCTGACACTTCAGGTCATAATCTTGTATTAAAATATCAGAATGCCATCTGTAATTAGCTGTAACTGTATGGAAGGGCGCCTGGGTGGCTCAGTGGGTTGGGCCTCTGCCTTCGGCTCTGCTCATGGTCTCGGGGTCCTGGGATCGAGGCCCACATTGGGCTTTCTTCTCAGCGGGGAGCCTGCTTCCCCCTCTCTCTCTGCCTGCTGTTCTGCCTGCTTGTGATCTGTCAAATAAATATATAAAATCTTTAAAAAAATAAAAAAAGGGGCGCCTGGGTGGCTCAGTGGTTCAAGCCTCTGTCTTTGGCTCAGGTCATGATCTCAGGGTCCTGGGATCGAGTCCCGCATCCGGCTCTCTGCTCAGCAGAGAGCCTGCCTCCTCCTCCTCCTCTCTCTCTCTGCCTACTTGTGATCTGTCAAAAACAACAACAACAACAACAAAAAACCTTAAATAAATAAATAAAGATAAAATTGTATGGAAAATCAATCTGTGTGGTTATATACTAGTTTTTAAAGCTTAGAAGAATGGTATCCAATTAAGAGGGGAGGGGGGAAAAGTGGAGTGAACAGGATGAAATTTCTTTCATATATTTATGATTAAGTATTTTGAAATAAAATTCCTAAGAATAAAAAAGAGGCTTATATTCACAAATCAATGTTCACAGCATCTACTCATTATATAGCACAACACTAGGAACAAACTTCAACAGACGAGTAACTGAATAAATTCTTTAACACCCGTACAACGGAACACTACTCAGCGGTAGTAAGGAGTGAATGACTGACACATGCACGGAGCGGGACGGATCTCTCGCATGTTCGGTTTCATCGGAAACCCATGTTCATGTGCAGTTCATGAAACTACAGAGATGGAGAACGGATCAGTGCTTTTCAGAGGACAGGGATGGGATGGAGGGTAAGCTGGTGTGAGTGCAAACAGCAGGAGGAAGTTTTGGTGGTCACAGGCCAGTTTTCTATCTTGACTGCACTGGTGGTGATGTGAATCTCTACGTACGGGCAAATTACTGTAATAATACACACGTGCAGTTAAAAATGGCAACACCTGAGTAAGATCTACAGCTGTCTAAGACGTCATTTGGAGAGGTGGGGTGAAGGGAACACGGGACTTTCATACTATTTATGCAACTTCCTGTGAATCTATACTTAAGCTAAAAATAAAATATTACTGTGTATCAAACCTCAAGTTCTAACCAAAGTTAATTTTTTAAAGATTTTAACATTTATTCATTTGAGAGAAAAAGTGAGTGCGCAAGTCAGGGGGCGGGGAAGGCAGAGAGAGAGAGAGAGAGAGAAAGCAGACTCTCCACAGAGCAGGGAGCCCGGTATGGGGCTCGATCCCAGGACCCAGAAATCGTGACCCGAGCTGAAGGCAGACACTTAACCATATCACTGAACCGTATGAGCCACCCAGGTGCCCCGAAAGAGGTTAATTTTAAATTTAATGATATAACTCCTATTAACCACTGAATGAGAGAGAACATTTCACCAACGATGTTGTGAGGCACCTGGGCGGCTCAGTCAGTTGCATGTCCAACTCTCGAAGTCTGGGGGGTCAGGAGACTGGGCTCCCTGTGAGCATGGGGCCTGCTTAAGATTCTCTCTCTCTCCCTCTGCTTATGCGCTCTTCTCACTAAACAAAAATGAAAACAAAATAAAACCAAAGTTTTCTGATGTATGTATCTACTTAGCGGTGTCCATTCCTTTATCAGCACACCTTTACAGATGTGCTGTCCCCAAGTATCATCTTAACGTAAAGAAAACAGGGGCTCTTGAGGAACAGGCAAAATGCGTGAAGGGGAGTGGGAGCTACAGGCTTCCAGTTATGGAATGAGAAGTCATGGCGATGAAAGGTACAGCATCCGGAAACAATCAATGTGGGGGTGCCCAGGGGGCTCACTCGGTTAAGTGCCTCTTGATTACGGTCCTGAGATCAAGCCCAAAGGGCTCTGCACTGAGTGAGGAGTCTACTTGAGACATCTGCCCCCCCCCCGAGGACCCCCTAAAATAACCGTTTAATAAAAACGAATAGTCAGCGGTACTGCAGGAGTGTGCGGCGACAGGCGGTACCACACGGGCTATCACGGTGAGCACTGCACAATGTATAGAATCGCCGAGTGACCACACTGCATGCCCGAAACTAGTACAACACTGAACTCGTGCACCACTGTATGTTAAGTACAATCAAGTTAGTTTGCCTTTTTTTTTTCTTTTTTTTTTTAAAGAACGCATGCATGAAATATGACATTTAGATTTTTGGCCTGCCTCGGCAAGTAGAAAGATGGAGTTAGCACTGGCTGAAATTGGGAAGGCCAGGGAAGGACTGCAAGGAAGTGCAAGAGAAATTTTTGAACATGTGGGGGTCTGTGACAGATACAGATCTGGAAGTTTTCTAGTATTTATACGGTGTGCTATTTATAGTCACGACACTGCATGAGATCAGAAATGAATGTGCAGTCTGAGAATTCAGAAATGACTAATGGGCAAGGGAAAGATGGGAGAGGAAAAGAAATCAGGAATAAAAAACGTCAATTGTGGTAAAACCTTCTGAGAGGAACTTTACACAAAATCTTAGAAGTCATCATTGGATTCAGGAGTTAGCTAATGACAATGGAGTTGTGAGGCTAACAAACCAAGGCGCCCCACAACTAAACCTTTAAGATAAAAATTTTTGAGGAGCCTGCTTCTTCCTCTCTCTCTGCCTCTCTGCCTGCTTGTGATCTCTGTCAAATAAATAAATAAAATATTAAAAAAAAAAAAAAAAAAAAACTAGTGCCCCAAGATGTTAAGACATGGGCGGCATGGTCCTTAGCTGGCATTAGTAACTGACCCTAAATCAGACGGGAGGAATCAGTTCTATTTTGAAAAAAGTAGGTCCATAATAAGACTTGAACCAACTGGGACCTCTGGGTCGTTCAGCAGGTTAAGCATCTGACTTTGGCTCAGGTCCTGATCCCACAGTCCCGGGACTGGGTCCCGCACCAGGCTTCTTGCTAAGCGAGGGGCCTGCTGCTCCCCCAGCTTGTGTGCTCTCTCTGACTAACATTAACAGAAGTTAAACCAATTGGTTTTATGTAAGAAAGCAAAAACTGTTTTCAAATGGTGATTTCTTTGTTCTTTGTATTATGGGAGCAGAATATCAAGGGACAGAGGGGAGTAATACTGGAAACGTAATGAAATAACATTTAGATTTCCTGGACCTGCCAAAAGTTTACTGGATCTACTGAGTCAAAAGCTGAAACCCAAAGATGCAATTAAGAGACGGAGAGAGGCTGCCAGAGCCAGGGACGTCTGCGCCCAGGGCTTGGGAAGTTCTAAGTGACAGATCCACTGTGACTGGGCTCCTTATCTGAGAGTACTGAAATACTTACAATTATTAAGAGCGTTTAGAGGAATAGATCCTAGGTTTCCTGAATATTCCCCAACTACATGAAGTCAAGGTTGAAGGTGGTGGCAGCACTAAGACTAACAAGGAAATTGCTACTTGGAGTCTTTCTAGTAAAGGGAACGGTGAGATTTTAGAACAGGAATAACGCAACCCTGGATTTTACATCTCTAAAAAGCAGGGAACGTGTGTGCGACCCAAGCTGGGGGCTGTGGAAGTCTCCTTCAAGCCAGCATCCCGCTCTGTGCAGCGAGCAGCTGGTGTGTGGAGGGGCGCCACGTGTGCCAAGACTGACTGTGGTGGGTGCGCGTCCGCTCCCCCCAACGGCCGCCACTCGGGTGGGGGGGCGCTGGAAGGAGCGCGCTGGCTAGAAACAGAAGCAGGAATTACACCTCCTGCTGCAAGCTGCAAACAGATGACAAGGCGCCATGGAGAGGACACTGCGCCCCTCTGAAACTTTCTTACACACAAAGAAAAAGGAAAGATTTCCAAAAGCCTTTAGCCTTGTGGATGTCAGATCACAGATTATGTATTTGGGAAAAGTACTTCTGTTTCACAAATGTATTCTCCTTAAAACCAAATAGGACTACTCAGACACTGCCTAAGCAAACTGAGATCTCTCTGCCGGAGTTTCTTTGTTCTCAAACAGCCGCACGAAATGCTTGCTGCCAAGTCCTTTCAGGACGGCCTTATTTAAAACAGCAACAGCCACTCTTTTTGGTATTTATGTTTTAATTTCCCAGAACACCAAATGCTGCAAAATGCACTCTAACGTACAGTTGGACATGTTTTGACAGCTTAATCACAAATTCACCAACTAAAATAAATGTACAGAACAGCCCCATCTCTCCACAAGTCCTCCACCCGCTTTGCAGAAAGTCGTGCTCCCTACCCCCGAGTTCTGAAACCCTACGTGCTGTCTGCCTCAGGTTTTAGGCACATCTTTTCCAGGGCGTCTGGTAAGGGGAATCAAACAGGATACAGCCCTTCTACTCAAAACAATGAACTGGTTTTTGTCTTGGTTTTTAATTTTTTTTTATTTTTTTTTTTAAAGATT